TAATAGTATAATTTCCTATTCTAACACTCCCTCTCAAGTTGGTGCAAAGATGTTTCTCATGTCCAGCTTGTTGAGAATGTTATGAAATGGTTTGCTCCCTATTCCTTTGGTGAGAACAATGGCTAGTTGGTCCCCAGTCCTCACAAATGGAGTACATATGGCGCAACCAGAGAGGTTTTCCTTGATGAAGTGCCTATCAATCTCCACATGTTTGATTCTGTCACGTTGAACTAGATTATGAGCTATGCTTATAGCCACTTTGTTGTCACAATACAACCGCATGGAATCGATTTGATGGATCCCCAAGTCTTTCAACAATAGTCGAATCCATAGCAACTCACATACACCCTAAGCCATAACCCTAAATTCGGCCTCAGCACTAGATCTAGCAACCACATTCTGTTTCTTATTGCACCATGTGACTAAGTTGCCTCCAACAAATGTACAATATCCTCAAAGAAGTTTGAAGACAAGTATTGCTTATAATAAATTTATTCAAATCATGATGAAAAACTATATAAAATATGCTTGAAAGATACATAAACTTAACCACGTATACTTCAACACAACATTTAACTTGAGAAACATACCTATTATTATCAAGTAGCAGCAACTCCTCCCATATTGAATTACAATAAGCATTGCCCAAAATCTGAAATAGATCCATGATAGTAGGTTCCCAAACCTTGACATCTAAGGTTATAGACCTCACCTATGGTAGATAAGAAAAAGTATCTAATTAGCCCTAAGCTCTTGGAAGAAATTATAGTAAGCACAATATTTTATCTCTTGGATCATTTTATCTGTGGTTTCCTTCTTTTACGCATAAGCTTTGGGAATAAGGAACTCCGAGAGTATATACATTAATAGTTAATATAAAAAAAACAACGCCCAAGTAGTACACATTAATGTGTGTTTGGGAGGGAAAAGATTGGGTACATACATACCTAACCTTTGGCATAGTGCACAAAGTGGTTGCCATGTGACTTGAACCCACAACCTCAAGGTCATTAGCCCAAGGTTTTACCATTGAACCAATGGTCACCCCTATACATTAATAGTTACAACCCAAAATATATTCAACCACAATAGTGAAAGGAATTTCTCAAATGAAGCAGTCAAAAGCGATAACAAACACATTTTTTTTAATAAAACTAGATGATTCTTATATTTCTTAAGAGAGGGCTTACCTATTATTAGTCTGGTAGTGTATATAGGATCCTTTCCAAAGTCCTGACCCAGAGACTAAAAAGGGTCATTAGCAAGGTGATTTCTAAGTCCATAATCTTTTGTAGGAGGCAGGGTAGATTGTCAATGCAGTCTTACAGGCTAACGAGACAGTGGATTCAATATTGAAATGAATACTGGCCTACTTTCTTCTGAGCCTTATGCATAAGATCATAACTCGCTTATCTACATTTCCAGTGAATGGAGTACCTAAAGTGCAATAAACTAGGTATTACTTTGCATATTATGCATGGTATTCAATATTCTTTCCGATGTAAGAATGCTTTATACTACACTTATTTAATGTTTGGCTTGAACACGTTATGTTAGTGTCTACAGTACACTTGTGAATTATATTGAAGAATTGTACCATTATTATGAGAATGTGAAACTAAAGTAGATTTGTTCATGCGCGTCACCAAGACTTTGTAACTAGGGTGAAATCGGACAAATTTGTGTTCTTTGATTTATTAATCAAGGTGCTTAATGTTGGAATTAGAATATTTAGTATCCCGCGATTTATGGATCACGGGTTATAAGGAGTAATTCATGTAACTGGTTTTTATTTCATAAATTGTTGTCTTTTTTTTGTTCTTTTTGATAAATATTTCGTAAATTGTAATCTATTCGCCAGAGTATATATACGTGTGATCTCAAGGTGCTCTAGTGTTATTTGATATTGATTTGAGGTTAGGTTATCATCACTTGAAGATTAAAGGTAAAATGTTGAGAAAACAGCCTTCATAACCAGGTAAGTGTTAGAATAGGAAATTATACTGTTAGAATAAGAAATTATATTAACATATTTTATTCTAATTTGGTGTAATGGGCTGTAATAAGCTAGCCCATAATTCTTGCCTTATGGCACTCCTGTAATTATACTTTATTCTTAATATAAAAGAGGATGAG